ACAGAGAGAGAGAGAGATGAGAGAAGAGAAGAGTAGAGAGGAAAGAGTTGGCAGTAGGTGAGAGTAGGGCAATGGAATGAATTTGCTGTGATCTTTATTGAACCATATATATGCAGATATGTAAAGCGGTTTGATTACTAACAGGAGAACGGCTTTCCTTTGACGAGTTGTGTTGCGTCAGAATGCCAAAAAGCGATTTCAAGAATTTGTCAGAATGGAACAAGGAAAGGTTAGACAAGGTGCCGTAATTTCCTTACATAAATTCATAATTCTTAGTATGTGGGCGACAGCTGGCTGTATATTGCCTAGGCCAGTTGGTCCTTCATTAAAATTGAGCTACGTCACGAATTTTCTATGGTATCAAAATGTGTAAAATTTTGCGTTGTGCCATTTTTTTTACATTAAAAGTAAGAACTAACGGGACTACAACGTATCCGTCAAATTTTTACTTGAAATAAGATTGTATCTCAACTAGTTTAAAATCCAAAAAACCATGTACGATTTATATATGTCCTGACATTAATTGCTTCTATGCTGATGTATGATCACGAGTGTATGTTCACCATCGAAACAATAAAGATAAAACAGGAATAAAATGCAGCAATTTAACTATAAAAAGGTGAAACAGAATTAACTATATTTTGTGAAAAAGTGGGAAATATTATTGTTTATTTTTACTATTTACACCGTAATCACTTTAAGCACTGCATCCTGGTACGAATTTTCGCATCTGTACAAGATTGTAGTTGAGGGTGGGAGAAAGTGTCCTCTGTCTATGTGTGCTTGCTGACGATCCAGCGAAACCCATCGTGATGTCCTCTGTATACACCTAACCTGATGCCTGCAACTAGTTGGCGCCATTCGGAGTAGGCAGGCTGCAGGTCTGGCAGTTTACAAGCCACTGTAAAATCTGAAAACGGCGTGCTCACAACAGAGCTCACTAACTCCCCTCTATCTGCTAACCGCCCGCCGTCCATTCTACCTGTAACCATACGCGTCCACATCTAACCTGTAACTCGTACAAGTCACCCACACCCTGTAACCATACGCGTCCCATTTACCTGTAACCCGCCCCGTACACGGTCCCAACGGATAGACCTGTAAACCAACCGTCCCCCATCGTACCTGTAACCATACGCGTCCCCATCTTCCTACGTACGAGATCCGGTGGTGATGCCCAAACCTTCATTCGTCTCACCCGCCGCAGCAAGTGTTATGGGAGGCGCGATGGTCGACCACGGCCATTGCGTCGCCTCGAAGAAACAGCCTAGGACGAGTGGAATTTGCGCCAAAAGCGTTGACATGCCTGGAGCTAGCTGACGTAAGAGACTCCCGTAGGCGTTGACGCAGAAGCAGGGCAAGCTAAATCCACGCCGGAGTATGTTTTTTCTGCCAGCATAGGCATGCTACAGGGTCAGGGGACCGCGCACGCTGGGTTCGAGTTTTTGCCAGCATAGCGACGGTATGATGTCTTTTCGCGATTGGCGACTGCGTAATTTATTTGATGAGGAAGTTAGATTCGTCAGAGCTTCTAGTTTTGGAAGAATCCGACATGTCTGCCGATCTGGCCGGTCCTGCTATGGGATTTCAGCACTTATTTCAGGTGGTGGTCGAGGGCGGTGCAGAAGGGCGAGGTGTGGCCCATAGCAGATTGGGTGGCAGGACAGAAAGCACCTATCATGTGGCCGGCTTCAGCAACCTGGGTCGTCAAAAATGCAGAGAGAGGGCCAATGTTAAGGAAATGCTCCACAAGGGGGCAGCATAGTAAGTTGTCCATTCATTCTGTATCCAATCTACCTCACCGGCTGGGGTTTGATCCAATGTTTCGGACTCCGCAACTGCTCAATTGTCTCTTATGCCAAGTCGCTTTAAGATTTTGTGCAGGTTTTTTGTTATGCAACGACTAAGACACAATGCTGTAGGATTAACTTTAGGAGCGTAGAGGAAGGTTTCCATGTGATGTAGTAAAATACAGCAGGGTGCGAAATTCAGCGGGAAGTCCCGGAGTCAAATACTTCTCCCTGATTTACTGTCGGACTCCCTGATTTGAACATACTGCAGGAGTCCGTGGGACTTCCCTGGAAAATGCGGCTATAGGCTAAAGTTCGTTCCAGAGGCACGGGCCTCACGGAATTACCGTATTTTTTTAGGCAAATAGTCCAAGAAAATGGTTGGCAGAAGCGTGCATCGCATTGGAATCTTACCAATAACGCGCACATGCGTTTATTGTTGTTCGCGCTTTAAGCCCCGGTCACACGAGGCCCACGACGCATTTGTGCCACGACGACGACAGAAAATTTTGGCAAATCTCGTGGGTCCAATATCGGGGTCGTCGCAAGACAGCGCTACGAACATTTTGAGTATCGTGGCAATCGACTTGCTGTCGTGAGCAAAATTGAAACAATGCACCTTTTTTGTTAACACGTTTTGTGGTATCTTAATGTCTTCTCCTGGTGTCGGTTGGTGTCTGTCCTACGACACGTGCTTGCCGACTGTGCGTGCGATAAATATCTTGTCGTTGGTACCAGAAGAAAATGTTTAGTCAAAAACAACTTACGAACTTCTGCACGACTGTCATCAACTGTCTCACGCTGTCGCAGACCCCAGTCCGTGAGACAGTTGCAAGATTGTCTCACGAAATATTAAGTATTTCGTAAGAGAGGCTCGGCACAACATTGCAAGTCTGTCGTGGCTAGGTCTTGCGTTGTAGTCTTGCAAGCATATTGCGTGTTTTGTGAGGGTAAAATATAGCCGGGCGAAGATGAACGCTTGGAAATAAAAACTGTTGCAGGCGCGAAGAGGATGGCTTCCACCTGAAGCGACTACCAGCGTGACCTCTGCAGGGGGCATCTGGCGAAACTCCAGCACAACATAATATAGGTAATGTTGGCGGGTGATCCGGGCCGGGAGCAGCGCGGGAAAACGCGGCGAAACCCCCGACGTTGCGTGGGTTCGCGGATCGAGCGGCGCCTGATGTTTGGGCAGTAATATATCTGATCAAGAGTTAGAGCGGGAATCTGCCGGTGACTTTCATGGGGTTCATGCGGATGGAGTCTCTTTGATCTTCTCCAACCAGGCTACACGATCTTTCAACTCCTGCCCTCGGAGAATGTCGTCTTGGACGGGCGATGTTGAGTACAGTGCCGCCGTAGTCGTCGGTCTTGCTCTTCTCTTTGCCTTGGCATTGCCGCCCGTAGCGCTTCTTCGCTCTCTTGGGGACAGCGCCAGAGGGACCGCCAGTGCCGTGCAGCCTCCCTCCTCACCAGGAATCCGCTCGCAAGCCTCAGTCTCAAGCCGCGTTCAACACGGAGACTCCGTATTATGAAATACGTATTTGCGAAATACCGAATCTGAGACAAATCGCGCCGAATGCGTTCCAACACGCTGATTCGCCGCTCCAGAAATTTCGGTATTTGCGAGCCTCGAGCCTGCTTTAAAACAATCAAGAGCAACATGCGAAATAAAACAATCATCGCACGCAATCTGCCCGATAACAATACGTAGACTGGTTCCGCGCTCGTGACAGTTCACTCGGTTACACTGAACTGTTGAGCGCGGGACCAAGTCGTATAAAATACGCGGCTTCAGAAATCCGGTAATTAGCCGTTCACACGAGGAAAATGCCGGCGGTCCACCAGAGATCCGGTCATTTCTTCCAAAGCACGGCAAAATTATTCGGGTCTGGGCAAGCGCGATGTTACATCAAAATACCGGATCTGTTTAGTACGTATTTCTTGACCGCGCATTTTGGCCTCGTGTGAACCGCTAAATAACCGGATTATCTTGCTTACGTGTGAACGCGGGCTTCAGGTACGACATCAAGCTGGTCCACCGGCAGTCACCCGAAGTTCGTCAGCCACTTTTACCATCTTCTCCTTGTTGGTTTTCTCTTGGGAGCATCCTAATACTAAACTTAGATTAAATTTGCAAAAAGTTGAATAAAATAAGTGACAAATGTCTAAATTCGGGCAGAACTTCGATGTTTCCACTGGAAAACATCTCTGCAGCAAATAGCAGGCAAAGACCGGCTCTCGTTATATAGTCGGCGAGACGGATGCGCGAGCAATCCCACGAGGGACCGCACAAGGCCCCCACGCCTGTTGTGCGCCAGTTCGCACGCTGTAGCAACGTGCATCCCACGAAGTAAACCACGACCTGTTCACGTAAAAAACAGCCCACCCGCCAAATGCCCATCGACAACTCACTACTGTCGCACGACTGACTTGCGACACCACCCACGACATTCTTTTTTTCTGTCGCGTCCCCCGATCGCCAAACCATCTTTAATGTGTCCGTAAGCCCTTGTGACCACTCGAATACATTTCGGGCATGTTGCAAATCTGGCCCACACAAATATTTAATGGGTCTACCACGACAAAATTTCGTACGATCCGTTGTGACCCGGGCTTAAGTTTTGCCAACCTTATCTACCGGACTCCCTCTTTTGAAGGCACGGGAGTCCCGTTTGGAACTCTTGACTATAACCTTAGCCTTAGGTATCACCATAGATATAACATATACAACACATATGTGTTGTATGTGTTGTATGTATCTATGGTATCACGAAGTGTGTTACTGTTAGGGTTAGGGTTAGGGTTAGGGTTTTGCATCATTCTTTGATATACGGAGTCTGTGCATCAGTTGATGATACACAGAAATCTGTGCATCAGTTGATGATACACAGAAATCTGTGCATCACTTCGTGATACCTAAGGTGCCTAAAGTGGATTTGCACCAAATTATCATGTGATATAGATTTTTCAAAATAAATTCATAGCTGCTGCTGTTGGTTGGCTTTAACCATTCCATTCCCAGATGTCTTTGTAATGATTAACCGACAACCCACTGGCACTGAGTACTGTTGTTGAGTTACAGTTAATTTATTCAATTATTTAATATTAATAATAATATTGATTATCATTATTGTATCTAATTTTCATCCCATTCGGACTCAGAGGTTAACAGGTAGGTTGCATGCATGATGTAATACAATACCAGACCGCTGTGCCGTTACACGTACACGGGTTATTCACAGTACTGATAGACTGACTTGTTCAGTGATTTTTTAGGCTCACTCTCAGAGTTTTTATCAGGCAAGATCTCAGACCTATGCTCAGACTCAGGTGACTGGAAACTGGAAACATTGGTGTTACAAGGATGCCACCTGGTGGTACTGAAACCAAAATAAATGCTTCACTCGTAATAGCGGTTGGGATAAAAGCTGACACGCTATCATACTCATGATACTACTACATACACTAAAATCAAATGCGTGTTCTTTTATAGTGTTTATGATGTTTCTAATATGTAACCCCATGACGAGAAAATTCAAGGGGTAAAACGCTCAACTCCTTTCTAAACTCCATATAGATGGCGGGACAAGCACGTTAATATTTACATGATTTGGGACAAAATAAAAATATTGGCCAGCATTGGCTAATTTTGAGGAGTACTTGTACTGTGTTGTAAACATTAGCAGTGGACTTTAGTAGAGCGAGAAACACAATAGCTTAAGGCCATGAAAAGGTTCACTAATTATAATTATTACTGCAATAATTTAATAAACTACACTCTAACTGTGTACACAGTACAGTGTGAGTGTGTGAGTGTATGACTGTGAGTGTGTGAGTGTCGCTGTGTCAGTGCCTACTATTTGGTGCCTACTGACCTGTGACCACACTCTACACTGTCACTGACACTGGCACTTGGAACGTCTCAATAAAAAAAAGGTAAATAAACACGAAATGTATTTACTACCAAAGTCTTAATGTTTCTCTACTCTATTTTGCTTATTATTGTCGCTAATTTAGTAATTACCCGTAAATGCCGGTCAAATGCTCATCTGCAACACACAAGTACACCGCACGCACGCCCTGTGCACCACAAACAACATGAATAAGACTAAGAGAGCAGGTACTCGCAAAATTCGCTCAACGCTTGCTTCATTTCACACCTTCACAGCCCAAATACACCAACAACAGCTCCATCGTGGTATCTATTAACGCTCATAGGGTCTATGTCCCCCAGGGTACTGCCGGAACGTACCCTGGGTACGGTCCGGTATACCCGAACGTACCCTGGTAACTATTTGACATGGTTAGGGTTAGGGTTGGGGGTTAGGAATTGGGCGTAGGCGACTCCCTAGACTCGTTAGTGGAGTAGGCGAGGTACGGTTCGGCATATTAGATAGCACCAGGGTACGTTCCGGTATACCGGACCATACCCAGGGTACGTTCCGGTATACCGGACCATACCCAGG